GCACTGACCTGTGCTCACTGACCTCTGGGTGATGGAGATGGAAGCTCAAACCCATCCTCTTTGGTACCTTCTCCTCACCTTTGGTGAGCACCCCTTCTGCTCGCCTTTGCAGAAGGCAGAGGAGTTGCTTGGTTTGTTTTTTTTTAAATTGATTTCTAGATGTCATGCCTGGCCTCAGCGCTGCTCTGGGTACTTAGAAAATGCTGGTAACTTTGTGCACGGAAACCTGTTCTTAATTCTCCCCGTGGCCTCTTGGGTTAAAAAAACTGCTTTGTTTCTCTGTGGCTAGGTGTGCTGACCTGCTCACAAAGCACTTGGCAGTTTGCTGGTGTAGAGAGATTGAGGAAAGGTTTACTGTTTCTGCAAAGCAGTGAGAAGTGTCTAGATAACGTTACAGAGATTGTGTCTCCTCTGTCTTTCCCTGGGCCTCTTCCCAGGGTGTCACCCGCTTGCCAGCGCGGACACGTCAGCGGGATCCAGTGACTCTCAGGAGTGTCCCGTCCTGTCCCTCCATCAACAGGCTCATAAAACAAGTGTAGGGGAGAGGGAGGAAGATGTGCTAATCCAGGGCAGTAAAATCAGTCATGGGTACATCAGCTGCTGACCGCTAACAGTGCTGGGGAAGATAACCCTGAACAGGAATCTGCAACGGGAGAGAGTGCTTTATCTAGAAACTGAATTCACGAGCTCTCTTACGGCAGCTTTGATGCTGTTGGTTTAATGTCCTTAACATAATTTATCAGAACAAATCTATTGATGCAGAGAATTTCAAAGTTATTACTCATTGCTTGGCCTTCTGGCCAAACTCAAGTGTTTGTAAGTGTTTTATCTTTCTCTGGAGGGCCATGGTCTGCACTGGCAGGGGCAGGCTGCCTGATCTCAGGGGTTTTCTTCCATCTCCAGCTGCTGTGATTAAGAGCGTTGGCTTTGACTTTTAGTTCAGGCCAGACTTTTACAGTTTTCCATAAGAGCTTCCTGAGAGAAGCAAATGAAATATTGAGGCTCTTATCTTCCAGAGCAGTGGAAGAGGCTGTTTCTGTGTGTGACTGAGGTGCCTTGCTCAGAAGTGTTTTGCTTGCGAAGTTTGGACCTTTGTTTTCGTAACTAGTGGAAATCGGATTTCATGTTTCTTTAACTTTCTGGGGGAAAATATCTCGTTTCTTTGAGTAGTTGAAGTATCAGTTCACCGTGACAATTGTATAACCTTTTTGTTTTTCCTCGTATAGATTTCAGCTTTTTATGCTGCTCGGTGATGTCATTTCGAAGAGGTAGATGTATTGCATTATATGTGCTTAAAAGAAGGCATGGTTTCTTCCTCTCGGTAACCAGCAGCCACATGCCATATTACATAACTGTCTTGGCTTTTGAGGATTGACCAAACTTGGTGGGTTTTTTCCCCTAAATAAGCTGCTGCCGCTCTCAACAAAAGCTGCTGTTTTATTGAAGTGTGTTGTGTAAGCGCTCTCCTGACATCTAAACAGCTCTCCGCATCCCTGTGTGCACCAGCAGGATTGTTCCAGCGGGGCTTTTCTGCTTTGGTTTCTGCCTGGTTTGCACTTTGGAGAAAAGGAATCTCACTGCTGTTCGCATTTGCAGCCGTGGCCTTGGGCTGGGAGGGGGGACACGCATCCCAGGAGACTTTTTTGGGGGGTGGTGGTGGGGGATTTGCAGGCAGAGGAAAAAAAAAAAAAAAAAAAAATGTGTTGGGGGATTTCTGTGCGGCCAGCAAGTTGGATGTGTCCGTGGAGGCTCCAACGTGCTGCACGTCCTCCAGGTAGTGCGTGGTGGGTCGGAGGCTGGGGCTCGCGGCCGGCTCGGGGGTGTGCAGGCGTCTTCTTCTCGATGGTGCCACCACCTCCAGGCAGAGAGTCCCAGTGAGGAGGGAGAATATTCCCCTTTTTGAGCAGGAAGGGGACCTGGTTGGGGGAAACCCAAGTGCCTCTCTTGCCCTGGCCACTTGTTTGGCAGAGATAAAGCCTGCAGTGAGCAGCAGGGCCAGGGAGGAAGGGCAGTGCATGCCGGTGTGACGTGTCCTGGCTCTCGGCTTGCCCCGCTCACAGGCTGGAGAGTTGAGCTTGATGATGTGTTTGGGTGTGCTAACGTTTTCACTTTTTATTTTTGTCGAAAACATGAGGCGCAGCTAAAATCTGTTTGAGCAGCCCTATTTAAAAATAGAGCGAAGTGGGTATTTGTCCTGGCTCTACCAAATTAGCATGCTCGTTTGCTAGACAAGATGAGGGAGGATCTGACCCAAAGGCCTTGTTACATGTCCCTTCCAGTGAAATATTTGTCTGAACTGTTTGACCAGGTGCCATAGCCACAACATTTTTAACTTTTTTCCCCCTAGCATTTATGTCACAGTCGGTAAGAGTATACTATCTGTTGCTAGCTGAAAATAATCCCGGACAGCTAAGGCTGGTGGAAGGCAGTCAGCTATTTATTTAGGTTGATTCAGCTTCCAGTAAACAGCTCTGAGGAATGCTCTGAAATGGCCCATAGGAATTGCTCCCAGAATCACGAAAGGAAGAAAAAAGGAAGCTTTCTGGGACATCAAGAATTCACTTTTGGACAGGACTTTCTAACCCTGATCTGTTTCCTTTGGCCAGAATTAACTGTTTAGGTGTCTCAAGCCATTTTTTCAGTTGTCAATCTGGGTCAGATTTATGATTGATGAATTCTTTCATTTTAGAGGTGTTTAAACAGAAACAGAAATAGCAGCTCTTTTGAAACGATTTAATTTTGTTACGCTTATGCCGTTGAATTTAACACCTTCACTTCTCCAAGCAGTGTGTGTGTGGGACGACAGAAAGCTGCCTTTACATAGCAATAAAAAGAGGTGGAGATAACTGAAACGTTTTCATATGGGAACCTCTGAATTTTGTTCTCTGACCTCAGCTAGTAACACTTTTGGTAATCGAGAGAATTTGTTTTTGCAGGAGAACGTGTGACAGACCTGTACGTAGCTTCAGTCAGAGCCGAGCAGACCTCATCAGCTGTGTGTTCATCCTTGTGCTCGGGCATGAATAAGTGTTTTTTATCATGGTCAAACAGGAATTACCTATTTCCCAATCAGCAGCAAACTCATTTGGAAACTAGCGGGAGGGAGGGAGGGAGGGGGAGCTTCCTGCCGCGGAAACTGGGTGTGCTGGGACTGGAGCGGTGCTGCGCCCGCGCCGATGCTGACCACAGCCTGAAGCTTTCCCTTGTTGACTCACCGTTTCTTGTAACCAGCCCGACTGGGAGGATCGTTGTCGCTTCCCAAATCACTACGTGAAGGGGCAAACAGACACCGTGGTCTTGGGGCGGTGGGGGAAGAGGAGGAGGTGGAGCCAGTGCTCAGGTCTGTACTGAGATGCTGTGCGACATCCTGAAAATCACCAGGAACCCTCCCAAGATAAGGAACCCCCCTGGTATGGCAGGGACAAACCAGACGTGCTTTGGGATGCTGGCTCTTCCAGCCAAGGCTCGTTGTATATTCTCACTTTTAATGTTTGTTACGTGTGATTAAGGCAACAGAGAGATTTGCTGCTGGGTCCTCTGGCAAGAGAGCTTTAGTTAAATCCCAGTGGAATACAGTTTTTGCACAGATGATTAAATATTAACACAGCGAATCTCCAAGGTGATGAGGCTGGCGGTGCTGCTTCAGGATTGCTTGAATCACGGGGCTTTTAGAGGTTCCAAGTTACATAATTGCAGTTACTTGCTTAAAAAAAGGCTTAATTGCCATCGAACATGTGTTTTGTGATGCCGGGATTGTTTCCTCCAATCCCTGTATCCTGATGGATCATGGCAAGTTCAAAAGCCTTGTGCCAAGGTGATGGAGTCGAGTGTTACTGGTTTTGTCATAACACACTAAGTCACAGAAGCTTCCTTCTGGGTGGAGATGCTCCCAGATCTGGGCCGGTGGCAAGAGGGAGAGGGAAGGGATGCGAGAGGTGAAGTGGGGTGCTGGCTCCAAAGAGCCCCGAGTGTGCTGGGAGGAGGAGGAGGAGGAGGAGAGCTGGCCCTGAGAAACTTCAAACACCAAAATAAGAGCTTGTCAGGACAAACTTTCTTGTCTTAAAGGGAGATGAGAGGGGGTGGGAAGGCGGTTGGAGCCAGTCATTCTGTGCTCGCTTTGTTTAGCAAAAAGCATTTGTGACAGATTTTCTTCTTGTTTGCTTGTTTAATATGTATTGAAATGAGAACTTTGATCACTCGATAAGGGGATCATAAGGCTGCTGGATTTTGCTGTTAAGTACTTCTGTTCCTTTTGCTGAAATGCGGCTTTTGTAGAGCTGTAGCGCTTGATGAAATCACAGTGTGAGTCTTTACACCGCCTGAAACAGGCGAGCAGAAGGGGCTTCTCTGCTGAGCGAGCGATGGGTGGACCCAGAAGGATTTTATATCATAATGCTTAATCTGGTAAAACAATTACTGGACGTTGGGGGAAGCAACCCTGCGCTTACTCGGTGGTATGATGGGGGTGTTGCTCCTGGGTGGGGGCAGTTTTATAAGGCTGTGGTCATGGCTCCCATGTGAAAAAAAAAAAAAAAAAAAAAAAAAAAGAGTTGCTGTGTTTGAAGCAGAAAGAAAAACAAAATGAAAGAGCTTGTCTGCTTTCCTGGGCTGGAGGCAGAAAGCACACCCCTGTTTTATGCGTCTTCCTGGCGAGGGCAGTGTCCCTGTCCCGGGAGCTCTTGGCCTCACCAGCGCTGGGCTCAGTCTGGTTGGTGGCTTTGTGGTGTACACAGACATCGCAGAGGCTCACTGTCATCTAATTGCGTTTTTTTTTTTTTTTTTTTTTTCTTACTGCATCCAAAAAAACCCCAAGACAGGAATCCAGGCCTAAAAGATAAAAGTTAGTACATCACCTCGCAGATATTTAACACCACGGTAATTATGAAAATCCCTGGGCTTGGCTTCAAGCAGAAGGGTTGATGTCCTGGGCCTTTTAATAAAAAGTTTGGAAATAATTTTAAGATAAAGCATGGTGCGTGCGTCTACTGGAACACTGCAGAGCACTTGGCCCTCCCAGCTCTAATTAAGAGGTGGCAATAATCCTGCAGAGCTGTGTACGTCCATCGAAGAGGGGAGGTTGCAGATCCCACTGGGAAGGGGGTCCTGGCTGTCGGTGTGCAGCCGGAGGAGCGCGGCAGAGCAGACCCCAGCCTGCAGCACCGACACAAAGCTGAGTGTGGCTGGCGAGCAGTAAGCAGGATAGCATTTCCTTGTGGCTTGACAGGAATCCTCTCTGCTGTAAGAGGAGAAGCTGAGAAGAAATCAGCTGTGAGTCAGTGCTTTTTCAGAAGCCTTAAAATGTTCGTTCGAAGCAAGGCCGTGTATCAGGCTTTTTTGTGATGCATAATAATGATTAACCCTTTCTGAGTGTGGCTTTATTCTTTTGACAGGATCATCTACATTCAAAAAATCACTCACCCCTGAGGTAAGTTTCTGACCGACAAGCTGGTTTGTTCCCTGGCTGAAAGAATGCATAATTTCAGACTTGTTTGCTGTTTTTCCAATCTCATTCAAGTTAGGGGTAAACCAGGCAGCAGTAAGTACAGAGAGCTGCAGGTACTCATTTGGGAAATTGGGGCATTTCTCCTTACCAGGGGAGTCTTTGCTTCAAAACCCAGCTTGTCCTGGAAGTGAACAATTCTCATGCCACCAAAACACCACACAGATCTGCCGCGAGCAAGGCGTTCAACTCGTTTTGACTGAGAAACACCATTTAACAACTGCATGTGTTAGGCAGAAGACGATGAGTCAAGCGAGCTCTTGTGCCATGAATCAGAGTAGAACGTGCCACCTTCCTACGATGTTTCCTCCAAGACCTGGCCTTGCTGGCAGAAAGCACAGTGACCGCTTGCAGTTGGTCCAGGCTGTCTTAGAGCTGATCAGTTTGTGATGATGGTGATTAGGAAGAAGCAAACCCTTCCAGGTGGTCTTGCGTGAAGGTGTTCCTCTCTATTTAGATGTCCTCCCTCAGGCACACAGGAGTCGGTCGGTTCTCTGGAGGCGTTTCAGTGCTGTTGCTGACCTGGAGGCCAGCTTCTACCGTGTCCTCCCTTCGCACGCGTGCAGGAGTCGGGGGCTTCAGGCTCCATCTTTGAGAATAGCAGAATTGTGCAGGTGGCTCTGGGCAGCCACTGGCCTCTAACAACACTGGGTTTTACATCCTTGGTTCTTACCCTGTCTTACTCCAATCCTAGATGCCAGGTGGTTCTGGGCAGCCAGGCTCACAGACGATAAAGAAAGGGCACAGAGGAGTGGACTCCACGGGCGAGACTACCTATAAAAAGGTGAGTTGCCTCTTGCACAGCTCATTTGACTGTTGCCATTCTCCTCTTTGCAACACACGTGCCGTCCAGGGCAGCAGCGTGTCTTGTGAGGTTTGATGCGAGATGGTGGGTAACGTCTGTGAAAGTCACTGAAGGTGATCTCAGAGGAACGGAACCAAAGGACTGAAGATGTGCTTCTTGGCTTCACCTCTGTAGTCTTCTAAAGAGGGGATTATTTTTAAACTTTGCCCATTAACAACACTTCCTAGGCCTCTGGCTCATTGGGTGCTTGCTGTGCTCTTTGGGCACAATAGTTTCTATAGATCTTGTGGCATTACTGGAATTTGCTTTACAAAGGGGAGATTGTTTGGGTATTTTTAAAAAGTCTGTCCATGTGGGTATTTTGCGGATGCTGCTTCCCGTTTGCTGGACTTCATCAGATTGGCCTGACTGTCTCTGAAGTGAGGTTGTCTTCTGGGATGGTGACTAAATGAGCAATGGCTTGATAAGGGCATTTCACCGCTTGGTGTAAGCGAAGCCTCTGGTCTGAAATCCCTGATTGCGATGTACTTCCGTCCGTCTGTTGGGAATCAGAGTGGAAGGAAGGAATTCAAATGGTGTTTCTAGAGAAGCCAGCTTTTGTTATACTGCCCTTTTTGAAACTGCTCGTGTCTTTAGGAGTGGGGTCTGTCTTTCAGTTTCTCAGCAAATTCAGAGGTAGAAGGTTAGACAGCAGTAATAGGAGAGAAAAGTAGGACTTAATGGAAAATGACTGAAAAAAGGGTCCCAGAAATCTGGTGGGATACTGCATGGGATTTATCTGGGAATGAGACTAAGGGACAGTCTGTCTGCTTTCCATCCCTGCCTTTTCCAGGGGTGGTAAGTTGTTTTTTAAAATTCTTTGCCCTATAAAAGTGATTGTAAACAGGCAGTCAGCTGCTCAGCAGATCGTGCTGGCTAATAAAAGAGAAAAATACTTGTTCCTTGGCAACCTGGCCCTGTGGCTCTGTGTTCACAAACAAGGCAGCATTACTGTGCTGTGTTGGTAAGTTCTGTTTCGCAGCAGTGAGACTGTCCTGGGAGTTTAAGCAGGGCTAGGTGAGCTGAGCTGAGATCTGTTTTCAAGCAGCTTTAGCCTTTAGAGGGTAAGGAAGGAAAGCAGAGTCAGGTTCTTCCTCCTTCCCCATCTAATACCGGAGTAAATATCAGATACAAACAGGTACCTGAAGCAGAAAGGGACATTGTTGACACGCTGGAGTTACTGCCAGTTTTTCTTGTGCTCTCTCCAGGGAACTGCGAGCAGGTCTCTTGCAGCTATAACAGAAAACCAGTTAAGTGGGAGAAATGTTCCTGTTTGCTATAGCAGGCTTCATGGAGGATGTGTGTCTGAGGAAAAAACTTGAAATGTTTGTCCCCCAGATACTGCGGTGTCCTCTGTTGCCAAGTGCTTTGATCTGCTGTGATTCTTGCATGTGGCAGGGGGCTGGGCTTTGTTGAGCTTAAGGAAACAAACACAAACTGGTTGGATCATGAGCCCTGGCTCTTGTTCTGGGTCCCGTCGCTTTATGTACAAGCCAAGTGAAATGTCCCTGAGCTGCAGTGCACAAATCCGGCCTGCACCTGCTCTGCAGCCTCAACATTTCCAGCAGGCTTGAGAGCAGGGTTCATATCGCTGTGCTCTGGGAACTGAGGCCCCATAACATCGGGGTGTTGAGCAGATCTCCTCTGGGCCGTTTGGGGGAAGACAGCCCATCGCAGGAGCGAGGCGGAAGCACGTCTCGGTGGTCTGAGATGAGCTCATGTGTTTCGCAGGCAGAAGGAGACCCTGGATGTGAGTAGCTGTTACAAGAACACAGTTCCTACATTGTTCTTGGGCAGTTTGTGCAGAGGATGCAGGGGCGGGATTCGTGTCTTTGGTCCTTATTTAAAAACGACAGTGACCTGCTTGGGGTTAAAGAGCCACGACCTAGAGAGGGAGGGAGACGGAGGAACACAACGGCACCAAACAGAGTGTGCGTTGTGTGCTGGCCATGCCTGCCTTGTCCTGGAGAAAACCTGGGTCTGTGCCCGAGCTGGGGAAGGGCAGGCTTCGAAGTGTGTAGTTCCAAGAGCAGGGTGACAAGAAGTGCGCGTGTGCACACATGTAGGGATGAGTGCCGTGGGAGTACAAAATGAAATTCAGTCCTCCTGAGGACCAGCTCAATGCTGATTCCAGTTCAAGCCTTTTACTGCTCAACCAGCCAGAGTGCAAACAGTGAGTTAGGGTGCTGTCAGAGATGTCGGGCTGTTCCCAGGGGTTCCCATTGCCGAGGTGATGGCAGTCTGAGAAAAATGGAGGCTGGAACCAGTGGATGTAGACTGCCCCGGCTAACGGTGCTGATTTAAACTGAGGGCGCCCTTTAACTTCTTTCATTCCTATTTCCTGTTGTCTAACTCCTTTTCTCTGCCCCTCCAGACGACATCATCTGCCTTGAAAGGTGCCATTCAGCTGGGCATTACACACACAGTTGGAAGCTTGAGCACCAAACCCGAAAGAGATGTTCTCATGCAAGATTTCTACGTAGTAGAAAGTATTTTCTTCCCCAGGTCAGTGCTTGCTCTCTCCTCTCTGGTGCTTTGATAGTGAGTAGCAGCAGTAGTTCCTAACCCCTGCGTGGGAGGAAGCTGCACCAAACCAGGACGGTTGAGCGCAGGAGCGAGTGCAGGCAGCGCACTGCTCAGACCAACTCTGGCTCCTGCCCGTGGCCTGTTGCTGAAGAACCCGGCCCTCCCCTGTACGTGTGCACCATCAGCCGTGTGAAAAAACACGGGTTGCTGTTGTGGGTGCCTCCGGGTGTCCCTTCTGGGTGGGTGCTCTCTAGCCCTCGAGTGTGTTAGAAGCAGCCAGCCAGCGGGTGTTTGCTCTTAGGGCAGTTTCTTAAGAAATGTTTCAAATACGAATACTCGTGTGTGCTTCTCCCCCTGATCAGTGAAGGGAGCAACCTGACCCCAGCTCATCACTACAATGACTTTCGGTTCAAAACCTATGCTCCAGTGGCCTTTCGCTATTTCCGGGAGCTCTTTGGGATCCGACCAGATGACTATCTGGTAAGTTGGTGGTTGGGCCAGGTTCCCACTTGTTGGGTGCTCTGTGTGACGGCTGTTTGTCCGCTTCCCTCTCTCAGAGCTGTGGAGTGCTGTGAGGCCCCGTGGCAAGCTCTGTAAGCGCAGCAGTGGGTGCTGTGTGTGACCCCGGGGTTTGTCTCTGTTAAGTTTAAAAGGAAGAGCCTTAGTGCTGTTTCCTGTTGACGTGTCTCTCACCTCTGTTTCTCACGTTGTCCTCCTCAGTACTCGCTCTGCAATGAGCCACTCATTGAACTTTCAAACTCCGGGGCCAGCGGATCCCTCTTCTACGTATCCAGTGATGATGAGTTTATCATCAAAACGGTTCAGCACAAAGAGGCTGAGTTCCTGCAGAAGCTGCTGCCTGGCTACTACATGGTGAGTTGCTTGGGTGAGGCTTTCTCTGCAGGCTAGGGAAGGGTCCCCCAAATGTACGAGCGTGACCAATGCTGCTGTGTACTGCCTGGCAGATGTGAGTGGAGGTTTGATCTGTGCCCCAGATGGGTGGCAGCTTCTCTCAACTGTCTAGTGACAAAGAGAGTCACTGGAACACCAGGTACCTGGGTACCACGAGCCTGGCGTGCTGCGCAGGGGTCTTGGGTGGCACTTTGTGACTCGGACCCTTTTGGAAGGTTGCAGGCTGCTTCGTGACCAGCTGTGAACTGTTCGTTGCTTCTCTGCTGCGCGGTGTCAGGCCTGTGGTACTTCATCTTGCAGAGCTGTTCTTGTGTTTCCCTTCCCAGGGCTGTGCTTGGTTCTGTCTGCGAAGATGAAGAGTTGAAGAACTCTGCTTTTAAGTTTCTCTGTGTAGAAAGAGCAGCAGCTCTGAGAGTGAAGGCGTATTAATTTTATGAAAGTGGCTGTAGCACAAAAGGCTTTATCGGTTGCGGAGCAATATCAGATCCCACCCGGAACGTGATGTGTGTGTGTGATCTGGCTGCTCGTGTTCATGTCCAGCCTGGCCTTTACAAGCCACCTCTGTGAAAGGGAATTTAGCCATGAGGTAGTCTTGCCATATAGAAGTGCCTTAGGACTTCTGTTGCTTTTGGGGTCGCTAGCTGAATTCCTTAAACTGCTTCTGAACCTGCACAGGTTTTTGCTACAGTTATATCCCAGGACCACGTTGGTTTTCTTCAAAATTCTGTCTAGTGTCTTCTGCAGCTGCATGAGTTTAGATCACCTCTATCCTGATGTATTGAGCTGGACCTAAGCACCATATTTAAGAAGGCTAAGGACAAGGTCTTTGCTCTGCAGGCTCCCCAGCTTAGCTTCTGTGTGAATGGGCAGCAAACTCCTTCCTTTCTACGATCTTTTGCTGACCCATTCAGCTTTGCAGAGAGGTTACCAACAACTGTAGGCTGTTCCCTGGGTTCACCTGCCCTTGTCTTTTAGCTGCTTTGGCAGTGGCTTTGAATCACTGCCAGCTCCATCTCAATATGGAGGCACAGGAAGGAGCAAATAACTTCTCTAACTGGCACGTGAATAACCAGAATGGCTTTGAAGGTATTTCTTTTGTCTTTTGGCATTTCAGAATTTGAACCAGAACCCAAGGACGCTGCTGCCAAAGTTTTACGGCTTGTACTGTGTCCAGGCCGGAGGCAAGAACATTCGCATCGTTGTGATGAACAATCTGTTGCCACGCTCTGTCAAAATGCACCTGAAATACGACCTGAAGGGCTCCACCTACAAACGCCGAGCATCCCAGAAGGAGCGAGAGAAGGTCTTCCCAACATACAAGGACTTGGATTTTATGCAGGACATCCCAGATGGCCTCTTCTTAGACTCTGACATGTATAATGCCCTGTGCAAAACGTTACAAAGAGACTGTTTGGTAAGTGGAAGTGGTGAAGGGCGGTGTGGAGAGTTCTTTCCTTTTTTCTGAGCCTTTCCCACGGAAAGGAGAAGGCAGCTGCTGCCCTTGCGGCTTCTGCCTGTTGACATAGAGAACCCTTTTTTTTTGGTGGTGGTGCGGACAAGAAGCAGGATCTGGACCCCAGTGCTGTTCAATCCTTCCAACCTGAATTAAACCCAGCACTGCCTCCAGAGGTGGAGGACTCGCCCTCTGCCAAGGTTGAGCTCTGGAGCAGGGCAGGATCGGGGAGAGGGGTGGGATGTTTGAGTCTGGGCTCAAGTTGGGCAGCCATGCAAGAGTCAGTGTTCTCTCCTGGTTTGGGTCCCTGCCTGGCCAGGACTACCACTGATGGCTTTCCTCTGACTCCCTTTGGCGACTGTAGATGAGCTGACTCTGCACGAGCTGTGGATTAAAAGCCATCCCCGCGGTGCGCTCGGGGCTCTAGGGAGAAATGCTGACTACGCTTCTGCAAATGTCTGCTCTGACAGTTTCTCTGGGTTTGCAGTAATGAGTTAGCCTTTGTTGACTTTCTGCCCAGGTCCTGCAGAGCTTTAAGATCATGGATTACAGTTTGCTTGTTGCGATCCATAACATCGATCTGGCACAGAGAGAGCACGCGATGGCAGATGGGACGTCCCAGGCGGACACGCGGCGACCCGCTGCCCAGAAGGCTCTCTACTCGACAGCCATGGAATCCATCCAGGGAGAGGCCCGGCGAGGTGGCACCATAGAAACAGATGACCAGTAAGTCTGTTGGCATTGCCCTTCCCAGTGAAATACTGTGAGGAGTGGGGGGTAAAACCCAAGGCTGGTTAATGGAGACTTAATTTAGGCGCAGATTGGGCTATAGAGGATTGCTGTCATGCTGGGCAGAGATGTCTTGCTATCAAATATTGTGCATTTTTCTTTGAGTTACCTTCCTCTCATTTATGAAAGATTTTCTCACCTTCCAGGTGACATTTGGAAGTTCTCTGCCCACCAGTTATTGGCAGCTTCAACCAGTTGCTTGCATCCACCTCTAAGAGGCACAGCGAGTGCTTTGTTAGGTCAGATTAACAGCCCGTAAAGTCCAGCTGCCATCTTAGTGTGGATGGTAGCAGATGGTCTTTGTAGTTCCTTGTCTCTTCTCATGCGTGAGTTGGGGTTAATCCTCATCTTCCATAAAACTGGCATCCAGAGGGAGAAGGGGGTCAGTTCTCCGGCGGTTTCGCCGATTTACTGGAAGAGCGTTTTGCTCTGACTTCTCTTCCCCAATTCGTTAGCTGAAGAGTAGGTGCCTCCCGCATGGTGGTGCTTGTTAAATAGTTCACATAATAGTCAGCCCACGCTAGGCTGCGTGAGAGAGGCAGTGAGGTGTGAGAGCACCCTGGTTCATGTCTGTGCCCTCTCCTCTTCTAGGATGGGGGGCATTCCAGCCCGCAATGCGAAGGGGGAGAGGCTGCTGCTGTACATCGGCATCATCGACGTGTTGCAGTCCTACAGGTAAATGCTGAAGAGCAGCTGTGTGTATCACCTAAAGGTGAAGACCACAGCATTGTCTGACCCTCTTTGGTTGTCAGGATTGGCTTTCAAGAAATAGTTAAGACACACATAAAATTTTTTAAATTTATCACTTTCTGTATTCTTGAAGTCAGGCATGTGGTGATCGATTTCTGGGTGTTGCTTACTGTATTCACTTCATCTTCCCGGAACAGATTTATGAAGGTGTTTTTGTGTGCTGTGGTTGTACACAGGCACTGTGCAGGAAGTGGCAAGGAAAAAACAAGTGGTGGCTTAAAATGGCCATAACCACTTCTCCTTATAAAATACATAATAGCTGTAAGGCTTACCTCTTCTTCTATTTATATTAAAATTCAACGTGCAGAGGGTTACATACGTAAAGTCTCTGTTAAATGTCATTGCAAGTTAACTGACCCCTGATAGTTATGCTGGTGAAACTCTCCCCTTGGGAGGGCGAACTGTGTAACCAGCCCTGGTGCCTGTGGAACAGTCTTAGAAAAATGGGACAATGAAGAGAATCCAAAGCCAAAGCAGCCCGTGTTTGGGGTGTGCTTGCCCCAAGCCAGGCTCAGTACTGAGCGAGCATGATAAGATACGGACAGTGGGGACTTGGTGTGGAAATTGTTCTTAATTCTTCTCTCTGTCAGGTTTGTCAAGAAGCTGGAGCACTCTTGGAAGGCCCTTGTACACGATGGGGTAAGTAGGAAACCACCACTTTTTGACTTGTTTAGCAGTAATAGCAGTGTCTTTTTGAACTGTGCCCATTGTCCTTGCTCCTTCTGGGCACAGATCCTGGATTCCTAAGGCATGTGTGTTTGCCCTCTTAGGTAGAAGTATTATTTCCTAGGTACTCTCAAAAACGTTGGTTTTGTTAACGCTGGTCATCTACTTGCTCACTGACAAGTGTTGATTGCTTTTGGATATAATGCTGGTGGCTAATCAGCTTCTCGCAGCTGCTAGTGAGAGCGACTCAGACTCCCTGGCTCTTCTTAGTCCAACACAGTGCCTGCTGCAAGGCGAGCAGCCTGAGAAGCTCCTGTTAACCTTGAGCACTCATTAATTCAGATTCACACGTTAATGTTTGTCCCTTGGACTTCTAGGACACCGTATCTGTGCACAGACCCAGCTTCTACGCCGAAAGGTTCCAACGGTTCATGTGCAACACAGCGTTCAAGAAAATACCGTGTAAGTACCTCCGTGCAGCTCTCGCCTTGGCAATTGCCGTGGTTTCTGGCTGCTCCCTGCTCAGCAGCTGTGGTTTGGGAAGGTGGACAAAAGCGTGCAAGAGTTTTAGGAAGTCTGTTGTGCTGTGTCACCTCTTCCTTCCGCCTAGATTGTTCTTGCCTCACAGATGTGACCTTATAGGAGCTGTTTCATCCATCAGCTTGTTCCTTCAGGGCGCAGCCCTTGCACCAGACTCTGTCACTGGAAAATTGCTGCGTCGGGTCTTTTACTCCTTCCTGAATGTGTTTACAAAAGTGCTGTCTTGGTTTTTGTCTTTAAGTAAAGCCATCCCCTTCGAAGAAGAGCCGGTCTGGCACAACAGTCCCTCGGCGGAGCTGTCAGGGAGGAGTGCCTTCCCAGTCGCACATGTCGTGCGAGACAAAAGCACAAGTAACGACAGAGGTGGATGTAGAGCAAGGTTGGTGTCTGGGCTAAAAAAAGAAGCCTAGAAAAGTTTTGGTTTTTTTTTTTTTCAGCTTGTATTTGTCTAATTGAAGCTTGACTGCCTCTTGAGCTGTGTAACACACCTCCACCTTGTTTTGTGGTCTTGCCAGGGGAGGGCCTGTTCTCTGGGGTTGTGGGCATAAGAAGCCAGATGGGGCCAAAACCACCAAATGGCCTTTGACAGCAGCACCATGAGAAAATCTGGAGGAGCAGCGAGCCCTTCAAACGCTTGGCTGTTTCCAAGCGTTCCATTGAAACAAATGCAGGGCAGGATGATAAACCTTGTGTTTCAGTAAAAGCCAGTCTTTAATCACAAGCAGGATAAAAACCAGGTTGGGGAGGTGGGGAATTGTTTCTTCATGGGATTTTTCAGCCTCGTCCAAGCACCCAGCATGGCCCTCCCTCCCCCTGGGAAGTGGGCTGAGGCTGCGTGGCTGTCCCATGCGCCCGATCTCTTTCCCAACAGCTCGTGCCCGTGGGGTTCGTGCCAGGGGAGAAGCTGGTCTGGGCAGTCCTGTGGAGGCTTGGCCTAATGGAGACCTGCCTGTGGGGCTGGTTGCTCAGTGCCCGGGGTGCCTTAAGACGTCTCGGGTGGGATCCAGCGCGGATCCTGGCCCCTGGCTAGTGTGGGAGCTCGTGCCACGCGGTCCCACTTGTGCTGGTGATGGAACAGTCTGTGCTTCAACTCAGGTTCCCACCTTGGTCGCCCAGATCTGCTGCCCAGGACCCTGCCGGTAGATGAAGCTAACAGCGATTCCATCGCAACAACCCTCTCCACTTCCTCCTTGGGCAGCGGCGGCCTCAACTCGCCCGCAAATAGGTAAGGCTCGTGCTGCTGCGGCGCACGGCAGGCCAGCGCCTCCCGCAAGTGCAGTTCGTGAGCCCTGGGAGGACTTTGTGCTGCTTTATGGGCGGTTTTGGTGTTGGCATGCTCGCAGAAATACCCGTTTGAGGGGGTCCGTGTGTTGTGGAGCGAGTTTGGTGCTGTCGGTTGAAGCATGTGCAAAGGGGGGAGCATCGTGTCGCCGTTCCTGCGTGCAGTCCCTTACAGACGACGTGATCTTCTGCTTGGGCTGTGCCGGGCTCCCGGTGGCTTTTGGTTCCTCGTGTGTTCTGTATTTAATGGCTTTGTTCTGGAGTCAAGGTAACTGTGCTTATTAAAGTGGGTTGGTGAAAGTGTCACTGCTAAAATGTACGTGAAGAGCATTAATGTGACGACGGGTGATGCTGAAGGCGACCTTCCTGCGGCTCTTTCCTGAGGGTCGGGCGCTCTTGCAACTTACCGACTGGGTTAGCATTGAGCTCCTACGACTCCTCGGGAAAGGAGGCTGCAGGAGGTGTGCAGGTCAGAATGGCTCGGAACCTGAAATGCATGGAGAGCCCTGAGGGAGCTGGTGGCTGCCTTTGAATGTTTCGTTTCTTGCTGAAGTGGTAAGACTAGCAGGGACGAGGAGGAGCTGTGGTCAGAGGACGATCCCTTTTGTAGAAATTGTCCCGAGGTGTTAACTTCTCTTCTGGAAGCGATGGGAAGCCATCTTCCCCGTTCCTGACCCACTGCACACACAGTGGCACCGGTAGAAGTGCCTGCTCTCTCCTGAGCTGCAGAAGAACAAGATGCAATTGTAATCAACACCTCTTACTCCCTCTGTAAAACACGGAGACGTCTTGGTAGGGATCCCAAACCAGAGCTGCTCCTTTCCAGCACGTCGGCATGCCTGAGGTGTTCTTTTTAGTTAACTGTGGGTCTCTCTCCTTCAATCTCTGCGTAGGTCAGTGGGCGTACAAGTGCATAAAGCTGACAGCTCAGCAAAGGATTTGACTAGAACAGCTCCCGGCATCTTCCTGTCTAGGTGAGGGGAGGAACCAGACTTTGCCTGCAGCCTTCTCCTGTCTGGAGGGTGTGCTCACCGAGAATTGTGCTGGGATTTGGCCGCACACGCGTTGCTGGCCAGCGGTTACAGAGCTTCTGTACAGTCAGCTCGCTCCTAAAATGCAGTGCTGTAACGCAGTGTGTCCCTGTGCCAAGGCTCAGCAGTCCTTAACGCCTGTGTCTGCTGGAAGGCTCAGTGGTAAAACCTCTCAGGATGGGGCCCTCCGTACCCCGCCTGGCACTGAGCACCCTTCTGGGTAAAAACACGGGTTCTGGTAGGTCGGATCAAACCTGCTGCCCCGCTGGGTAGAGTCCTGAGTGGGTCCCCACATGCAAGGCCTGGTCTGTGTTTGCTCCAGGTACCTCTGGAGCGGAGCATGCCGCTTACCGTACCCTGCGGGCGCTCCAGCGTGTGGTTGCCCTTTGCCAACGTCCCGTAAAACCACGTGCCGCTGCCAGACAGTGGTAATGAAATCCAGGAGGGAGAACCTGCCAGGGCTTTCTCCTGCGTGTGGGGCCTTGGGATCTGAGCTCCCTCCATCAGACCTGTTGTCAGAGGCTTAAATCCACTTTTGTGACCTTGGGAGATCCCTAAAGCTCTGCAAACCCTGATAAAGGACGGAAGCGATTTGTGGATTGTTGATTTGCAATGATGTAACTTGTTGAAGGGATTTTAAAAGGTGGTGTGTGCCTTTTTTTTTTTTGTTTACTTTTTTTTCTTCCCCTCTCTACAGAATCAGCCAGTCTAGCGGGGTGTTTACCACCCTTTGGGGAGGTAACCTCTTAGATCTCTGTAGTCCTGTACAAAGGGGAGTGATCTCACCCAAGAGCTTCTGCCCTTCTAGGGGGTGGGCGCAGGGGGGAGGCAGGATCTGGCCCGTTCCAGATCTGCCCTGGGGACGGGAGCTCAGCCCTCTCGTCCGTGCTACGACAACCTCAGTCTCTCTTTTGCAGCACGGCCTCGCGCCTGCCTCAGAAATGTTGCCCCATGCCTCTGTGTGTGGAAGACGTGCTCTCCACGGTGGCGTAAGCGATACCGTCCAGGCGTGGGTGCCCGCAAGGCTGGGATTCCCCTGCTCCTCAGCCCTTAACCTCTGTCCTTAACCCCTGACAGAAGCGTGCTGGCGCTGGGGACGCTTAGCCATCGGCATGTGCCGCTGGGAATGGGAGCTACTGACCGGTGTCCTGCGGCAAGGGCTTCCAGAGGGTGGTCCCCTCCATTTGAGGGGGACACTTTTTTTTTTTCTCTTAAGCACTGTAATTTAGCAGTGGACTTGGTAGTGTTAGGTTAATGGCGGGTCTCAATCTTTAAGGGTCTTTTCCAACCTGAATGAATCTATGATTCATCCTGCAGCCTTGTGTTAGGGCAGCGCTGCTTAGTGCTAATTAAGACAAACCTGAGGGGCTACACGCGCTGTAACCAACGCTGAGCATCCTCGTCTTCAGTTTCCGCGTAGGTCAAAAGCAGCGAGTCGCCAGTTAGAGAGCTCGGCGGGGGAGGAAGCCAGAGCAGCTCAGAGTAACCGGGCACATAGGTGAGGCGTGAGCAGGCAGAGAGGGAGCTGGGCCAGGATCCCCGCGTCTCCGTTCGGGTGTTCATCCAAGGGCGTTTGCGCGGGGTGACGTGCAGCCTGCTGACTGAGCAGCCCGACGCCTCCTGCGCTCTAGCAGCGGGCGATCCCATCCCCAGTAATTAAGGCAACCGCTGCGGGCAGGCTGTGGCGAGCCCTGGGTGTTAGGTGCGGGAGGGCCGAGCGGGTCGTGCCGTCCGTAGGCAGTCCCGAAACCCCCTCTGCGTGTCGCCAGGACACCAGAGAGCCCGGAGCGCTTGGCCGAGGTGAAGTGCACGCGCTCGGACTCGACTTCTCCCTCGAGGGCTAAGGAGAGAAGCTGTGGTCACCATATCCTCGGCAGAACGCGGGGCACAGGCCCAAGCTGGGAATTGGGGTTCCTCAGCCGGCAGGTTCCAGCCTTTTAGCTGTAGAATGGGGAAAGAAGTGGGGAAATAACCAAAGCAAGACTTGTTCTGTGCCCCACGTTTCCTCCTTGGCGATGGATCCTATCAGGTGCTCAGCATGCCCATGTTTTATATCCTGCCGTCAGGCTACAGCTCGAGTTCAGGGCATAAAAGGTTTGTAAAATGTTTGCCAGGGGCTTTTTCAAACAAGGGTGCCTCTGTCTGAAAAGGCTGATGCTCGCTGAGCTCCTGTGCTTGTGGCTTCTTTGTCCCCAGACCGTTTTCACCCAAGGACCATTTCTATGTTGATGAGGTGCTTGAAGACTTCTGTAAAGAGGTGCTGCTGCTTGGCTGGACAAAAGATCCTCATTTCTAATGTCTGAAGTCACGTCAGACTAGGGGGGAGGATTTAGGTGGTGTTTTGGGTGCCTGCCCCGGCAGGGATCGTGTTGCCTGTACCTCCGTATGAAACCTGCCTAACAAACGCCGTGCTGGGGCGTTCCCTCGGCTGGGTGCAGCAGGGCAGCCCCGGAGATGGGACTGAGTGACCACTCACTTTTAAAAACTGCTTTACAGGTCTTCCCCTTCTGTTTCCCCAGCGGCTCCCCAGGGCCTTCCATACCTGAGCGCTCCGCAGAGCTGAGAGAGCAGCTCGAAGACCTGCAAGAGACGGAGATAAGCTTTGTGAGTACTTCCCTGGTTAGGAGGGAAAGAGAGCTCGGAAGGTGGGTGGAGAATCGCGGGGTTATGTGGTCCCTGGTTGTGCTGGGAACGTGGGCACTGAGCGGGGTGTGCGAGTCGGCCAGAGCAGGAGCAGATGTTCTTCATCCCCCCCCAGTATGCGAAAGCTCAGCCTGCCTTGTGCTAGGCACCGTTCCTGCCCTGAGCGATAATCTGCTGCCCCAACCGCCTTACATGAGATAAGTGGGAGGCAAAGCAGAGACATTCCTCTCTCCTGGGGGCCCAGAGGGGGTCTGATGGCAGAGACAAACCAGGATGAAGCTGACCAGCCTCATCCCTGGGGCGGATGTTGAATCCTCCCAGACCCTCCTGGTTTAATGTAAGATGGTGGTTGGGGTGTAAGCCTGAACTCAGCAGCCCCCTCCACTCTGCCTCTCCCGGGGTGGAGAAGGTTTAGGGGGAGACGAGGCAGGAGACCTCCTGCTGCTCTTCCTCAGAGGAAGGCAGACCCCTCTCCAGCATCTCCCTCTCTTTTCTCTTCACAGTGAAGCAACACCAAAACTGCCGCGAAGGAAGCAGATTGTTCTGTGCTCTGCGTGGTCTGTGGAGTCTGACAAACGTTCAGCCCCTGTTGCTGATTTCTTCTTTTTCTTTTTTTTTTTTTTTTTTGTTTTGTTAAAGTAACCTTATCTGGACAGAAACCTAAAAGCTGGAAGGCTGGGCTACACTTAGTGGGATACTATTAACAAAGGCCGAGCCAGCACAGCTGAGCCTCGGACACCTGGAAGTCTCCTTACAGCAGAGCCCACCACCGTGTCCCTGCCGGCCTCCTCCCTTCAGAGCCTGGCAGCAGCAAAGCCGGCGGTCGGGAGGAGGAGGAGGAGGAGGAACAACTGCTCCGTGTGGGCTGGAGCCCTCTGGAAAAGGGATCTGACTTTCAGGGAGTGAGCTGCTTACGGTGCCGACACCACAGACCTTGCGAGAATGGGCGACTCTTCGGAGTTACTGGGGGGGAAACGGGCGTTAGAGCCTCGTTGGGGCAGTTTGCGACAGAGCAATGTGGGTTTATTTTGTATTTTTAACAAGTTTTTAATTTAAATGTTTCTCTGGATTCAGTCATATCACTTATTTTTAGTCCTGCAATGTAGTAATTTTTTTTTTTAATAAATAGGTTTTTTTTTTCAGTGTTTCACCAGAAAGTACCCCATGTGAGAGAGGCAGAAAGGGGGAGCAGGAGCTGCACTGACTGTGGACGAGCTCCTCTCCCCCACCAGCTGCTCCGGGCTGCCGCAGCCGCCTCCCTTTCCAACCTGGCATCGCCCCGAGACAGCGAGGAGCAGAGCTGGGAGCTGCGCTGTGTTGCTCAGAGGACTTTGAATGTGCGAAGCTTTTAAGACGTCGGGGAAGTTTTGGATTGCTTTGCCCCCTGGTTTTTAAACGAAGCCCTTTCGTCCCTTCCCCGCCAAGCAGGGAGCCGCAGGTGAAGGGAGATCTTTGTAAGGGGCACACTTTTTTAAAAGTATTTCTTAAGCAAACGGACCAAACCCAGCCTGCTCCGGTCCCTTCCCCTGCCCTCCGTCCTGCTGCGGGCATGTGCAAAACCCTTCCCGTTTTTATAGCTCGGCTCCCTTTTGATATCTCACCTGTATCGTAGCCGCAGTCGACACCGGTGCTCCCAGCGGCTTGAAACCAAGATCCCTACGAAATGGGACAGACTTCTGCCTCCACAAAAGTACGGGGTGTTTTCAGTCCGGTTTTAAACAAAATAATAAGCTGAAAGGAGGGATTGTTCTGCTGCCATTCTCCCGCGGTGACGCCTGGCCCACGCCGGCTGCAGACGCTTCTCTAGAGATCTCAGAGCAGATGTTGGACTGATCTTTATTTTCACGAAATGCTTTTTTTAAAGAAATGAAGTGACTCTTCCCCGTGTTCCTGATGGGTCAGAATCCTCCATTCTTTTTTATATATATAAAAAAAAAGTAATTTAAAGCTTGCCCTTGTGGTAGTGCAAGGGGTTTCTATACTAATTAGCAATGATTGCTAAGGAAAAGAAGAATGTAGTGGTGTAGAAAGGGATTTTTTTTAGTTGATGTTTCAGAGCCAATTCTCTTCCCACCTTCCACTTCAACCTTTTCAAGTGGATGCAACGCAAGCTGATTTTTTTTAAGAAAAAGCATATTTTTTTTTTTAATTTTTTTTTTTTTTTTTTTTTTTTTCTGAAAGACCAAGCAGAATGGCCTTACTCCGGGTATCCGGATCCCCAGGGGGGTTGGTGGAGCGCGAGGACAGTCGCTGTTCACAAACTGTTTGGTTCTCAAGGGCTCTCAAACCTTTCGCCACCGATGACCGTCACGACGAGACCCGTGAGCGGGAGGAAGATCGGCTCGGGGACGCCCGCGCCGTCTCTGCTGGACCTTCCCGTCTCCCTCCCCCGTACCTCTGACCCGATCCAGCAGCTTACACTTTATAGCTGAAGTAACTGTCTATATTAGACACTTGTTTCTTACCTTCCCTCCTAACCCATATTTGTGTTTTTTTTTTTTTTTGTTTTGGTTTTTTTTAATCAGGAGGGAAGAAAACCAAGTCTTCTTTTTTTTCATGATTTAATATTTATGAAGTTGTATTTAAGTGTTGTTGTTTTTTTTTGTTTCTGTTTTTTTTTTTTTTCCTGGGGATAGTTATTCAGTGAGTAGGGAGGTGGGGGGGTGACGTTTCTATATTGACCTCTGCTTTGTAATGGGTTTTCAGAACTGCTTCTTTTTCTGCGTGTGCGTGTTTCAAAGCGCCGGGGTTTTCATGTCTTTTTAAAAACACCCGGGCGGTTTTTCCTCCAGCGCGGGGAGGGGACGCGGCTTCTCCGGCCGCACCGGGGAGCAGCCGCTGCCGTCGAGGCCGGGTGACGGGACAGGGTGCGGGCGGACCCCTCCTCTCCTGCTCGGCGTCAGCGTCGCCATCGTCACCCCCTCGGCAGGGACAGACCCGTGTCCGTGTGTCCCCCGGGGAGCAGCTCGTGTCGTGCGTGACCGTTGTCCTCCCGGCTGTGTAACGCTTGTGGCCTCGTCCGCTGTTGGAACCACGCTGTCTCTTGGACGCGCAATACACAGTGTGCTGCTGAACCCACTGCCCGCCTGCCTCTTCTGTCCGGGGGGGACACGGGGGGGGGAGGGACGGACCCCCGAGGGGCGTCCGTGGGTCACGGGCCGAGCGGAACCCCGTTTCTGCCCCGTGGAGGGAGGGGACGGTCGTCTCTCTGCTGTGGGGGAGGCTCCCAGGACTACAACTCCCAGCATGCCCAGCGCCCGCCGCGACGGACCTCGCAAGACGGGAAGCTGCGATTGGCCGGTGCCCTTGAGCCAATCGGCGGGCGCTTTGTTTAGTCGGAATCCGGGCCGGTCTTGAGGGGGAGAAGGAGGCAAGATGGTTCTGGAGAGCACCATGGTGTGGTGAGCGGCCGGGCCGGGCCGGGCCCCGGGGAGCGGCCGCCGCCGCTTTCCCTGAGTCATCCCGGGCGGCGGCGGGGCCTGGGGGCGGCGGGGGAGAGGATTGGGGTGGGGGGAGAGGGCAGGGCGCGCCGGGAGGGTGGGTGTAAATTGGGGTGGGGTCCGGGTGGGTGAGGAAGGGTTGGGGTGCTCGAGGTTGGATGAAGCGGGGCGGGGGGGGGGCACTTGGTGGCCAGAGGGGACCCCGGTGAAGGGGACGGGCCTCTGGGCTGATGCTGCCACAACGAAGCGGGGCCACGTCCCCGCGGAGGAGAATCGGGGCGCAGCCCCCCCGCAGCGCTGGGCGGGTGTCCCTGCGGCCCGGGGAGGGAGGGTCCGCCCGGGCTCGGGGCCCTGCCCGGGGCAGCCGTTCTCTCTGCTCTTGCTGCTCAGCATCGGCGCTGAGGTACAAGGGTTTTTGTTCCTGGGTGCTGAACGCAGCCGGAACGGGAAGGGGAGGGCGAACTTTGATGTGTCATTATTGTCGCAGCAGCTACAGCCCTGTTGTTTTTCAGTTACGGTGTTTAAGAAGGCCACAAGAGGGAAAACCAGTGAGATCTGTGCAGGTTCTGTTGTTTCCTTGGCTCTCAATGTGGTCCCACAGCTCTTTGGATAAAGATATTACCGTAGCCTGACTCGCTGACCGTATATTGAAGTCCTTAGTGTTTTCCCTGGGTAACTCTTTGCTTTCTCATGTTTAAGGGCATTAAAACACGTCGCTGCTCCTTGTGTTGCCCTGGAAAGCAGGAGGAATTCACTATTAGTCCGGGAACAGGAAAGCTGCAGTGTGGATGGCCTCGGCCAGGACGCTTTGTGTCCTTGTGCCTGAGGTGAAGTTTGGCTGCTGCCGGCTCCTCGCTCCCCAGCTTGCGACGGGGTGTTTGGTGGGCTGGAGGAGAGGTGGCCCAGCCTGAGCATGGTCAGGGAAGCGGTCACAGGTGGCATTTTTTCAGGAGAAACCTTTCCTCTGGTGTTAAGACTAAGAAATGCTGGGAGTACTCCCAAGGGAAGTCTTAATTTGGGGCCAAAATAAACTCTCAAGCTCGAGCTCCCTTCCTGGGGTCACTTTCCCAAAGGCTGGTGTAAGAAAAAGGCTTTTTCTGCCTGCTCCGTACTATATTTAATAGCTGACAGAGTGCAGGGTAGGGATTTGGTTACAGCGATGTTGTGATGTGGCTGCTGCCGCCAGACGCTGCGGGGCACTGTTGCCCGTGTGCTGGGCGGTTTGGGGAGGCCCCGACACCCCCCGTGGGTGTGGGGGGTAATGCAGGGCTCAGGGGTTCCCCTCCTCGCCGCGTCGCTTCGAGGAGGGCAGCGCGCCGGCGGAGCGGAGCCCGGTGCGGAAGGCGCCCGCTGCCCCCGCCGTGGGAAAGCTGCTTTGGGCCTGATGAAAACCCCGCGGCGGTGATGAGTGTGGGGATTTGTACTTCACCATGAAGTGGTGTCTCTTGGGTTTTTCCTTTTTTCTGTGGAGATGGACGAAGGTGTTGAGGAGACATGGGTCTGAGGTTGTGTCTGGCTGCAGTCACGTCTCGCGCTCTTCAGCGAGGAGCCGGAGCTTGTGAGCTGTGACCCGAAGGTCAGATCTGATCTGGAAACTCAGGGAAATGCAGAGACGACTCGTCTCTCTACCCTGGGAAATGTCCATGTCCTGCTGCATGTCCCCAGCTGTGTGACCTTAGGTGTGCTGTCCCAAAAAGCACATTTTGGGGATAAACCTCAGCTGTTTCACAAGCTGACACCCCCCTCTCTGTGTTTCAGCGTTGACAACAGCGAGTACATGAGGAATGGAGACTTCTTACCCACTCGCCTGCAAGCCCAGCAAGATGCTGTCAACATCGTGTGCCACTCGAAAACCCGCAGTAACCCCGAGAACAACGTGGGGCTCATCACCTTAGCCAAGTACGGCCCATGGGGGAACTGGCCCCAGGGTGATGCTGGGGAGCGGCCGGGGGGGACACATGGGAGAGCGCGGGGGCAAGGAACGAGGGGAGTGTTGCAAAACGGGGCGGCAGTAGCACAGTCTAAAACCAAACCAGTTCTTCCGGGAGGACTGGTATGAGAAAACTTGGTTCCTGACCGGTCTCCTGCAATGCCAGGATATGTTATGGAGGCTTTTCTCTCTTTGCCAGACCCATCCTTTTGTGGCCTCGTGTCCCACAGGGTGGCAAATGTGGGCTGAGCTGTCACGGTAGCTCACGGGCAGCCCCAGGAGGGTGGTTCCTCTGTTGTCCTGGTCTGTAGGACTTCAGTGCCTCTGAGAGCTCCCTCTTAGCCAGTTGATTACAACTGGCCAGCGGGCTCAAGGTTGCTGGCGCAGGGGACAGATGCACACAAGCTTTCACGCAGACAGGTTACTTTGGGTTTTTGTAGGAAACCAGGCTGAAAGTCCTGCTGTCTGTACGCAAGGACCCACCAGAGCCAAGTGCTGGCAGACTCTCGGGGCAGACACCAGCTGCAGGCTTAGTGCAGGGAGGGCTTTTCTTGCCCCCGTAGCAAATAAAGGGTTTCGCAAAGAAGGGGTCGCTAGCGTAAGTGTCTTTGTGTTGCAGTAACTGTGAAGTGTTGACCACGCTCACTCCAGACACGGGCCGGATCCTTTCAAAGCTGCACACGGTGCAACCCAAAGGGAAAATTACCTTTTGCACAGGGATCAGAGTTGCTCACGTAAGTGGTCTTGTTGGTTCCTCACAAGTGAGTCTGCGCCTTTCTCTGGAATTCCTTTTGCCTTAGTGTGCCTCTTAAATTACGTGTCCTGTTGATGGCTCAGAGGCTGGAAATCTTGTTCTCTCTGTGCCTCTGCAGCTGAACAATACTGAGCAAATCATTTTGGTTTTGCCTCAGTTTCCCTATCTGCAAAATGCAGATGACACCTCCTTTATAAAATCTGATACAAAAGCTCAGAAGTGTAACAGTGTGGTCCTGGTTTGCTTCGGAGGAACCTGCCAGCTGCTTTGCAGAAGTCCCCCTGAGCTGCACAGCCCTTCCCACCCTGAGGAGAGCAGCCCCCAGCCCAGGAGTGTCCCCAGGATGTGGCCACCCTTTTGTCCTGTTTTTCTGCTCTGTGCCAGACTGTCTCTCTGCCAACAAGCTGCTCCCAGCCGAGTCCTAACTGCCAGCGAAGGGGAGGCCCTTGGGACTTGCCTGCTTGTAGGCAGTCTGGTGAAACTTGCTACTGAAAAGTCTCTCCTGACATTTAGCCTGAATTTTCCTGTGTATTGGGGTGCCAGCTGGTCACCCCTTTTTCCTGAGAATCGCTTCTTAAATACAGTGTGAGTTCTCTCTTGCAGCTGGCTTTGAAGCATCGCCAAGGCAAGAACCACAAGATGCGAATCATCGCCTTCGTTGGGAGCCCTGTAGAAGATAACGAGAAAGACGTGAGTAATGGCCAAAGGAAAAAAGGTTGGGTCAGCTCTGAGCTCTACTTTGAACTAGAAATCGGGTTTATTGTTTGTTCTCTGCTCTGTGTGGAAAGTAAGGCTTTGCACCCCAGCGAGGAGGCTGCTTGACAGAGCTGCTTGAGCAGAGCGGTCCTCAGCGTGGAGGGGAGGGAGAGGGGATGCCGGGTCCCTGGGCACAGCCAGGCCTGAGCCAAGGACAGATCCAGAGAGTTGAAACGCCTCAAACGCTTTCCTGCTGCGAGGGCTGGAAACTGGGAAGCTGACAGTGGGCTTTGTGCTTCCGGGACTGAATGCGAAGCGCTGTTTGGTCCCTGATGGGCTGAGCTGGGGTAAGAGCTGAAAGCCAAGCTAATGCCGCTGTGTCTTCCTGCTGCAGCTGGTGAAGCTGGCAAAGCGTCTGAAGAAAGAGAAAGTCAACGTTGATATCATCAATTTTGGAGAAGAGGTGAGACTTCTCTCGCGTTTCTGGCGTGAGATCCGAGGCAGGGTTTGTGTCCTTTCCAGCCTGGAGCCCTCACTCAGGCACGTGAGGGTACGAACAGCGCTCTGAGCCTCGGTCTCTTCAGCTGTGGCCCCAGTAAAAATGTTAATGTGGAGAGTAACGTTTCCCTCTGGGAAGACAACTCTCCCGTTCGGCTGCAGGCGGCGATAAATGCTTCCCGCCGTTCTTTGCTGCCTCGCCGTGTGGAGGGCTGGGGGGTGTGCGGGGGGCTGCGGGGTGTGCGGGGGGCTGCGGGGTGTGCGGGGGGATGCGGGGTGTGTGGGGGGATGTGGGGTGTGCGGGGGGCTGCGGGGTGTGTGGGGGGCTGCGGGGTGTGCGGGGGGATGCGGGGTGTGCGGAGGGATGCGGGGGGCTGCAGGGTGTGTGGGGGGATGTGGGGTGTGTGGGGGGATGTGGGGTGTGCGGGGGGCTGCGGGGTGTGTGGGGGGCTGCGGGGTGTGCGGGGGGCTGTGGGGTGTGTGGGGGGCTGCAGGGTGTGTGGGGGGCTGCAGGGTGTGTGGGGGGCTGCGGGGTGTGTGGAGGGCTGCGGGGTGTGCGGAGGGATGTGGGGTGTGCGGGGGGCTGCGGGGTGTGTGGAGGGATGTGGGGTGTGCGGGGGGCTGCGGGGTGTGCGGAGCAGTGCGGGGGCCGCGGGGGGAGCCAGGCCGAGCGCTGCTCCCAGCCTCTCTCTCTGGCCCTAGGAAGCCAACACGGACAAGCTGACCGCCTTCATCAACACCCTGAACGGCAAGGACGGCACCGGCTCCCACCTGGTGACGGTGCCGCCGGGGCCGAGCCTGGCCGACGCCCTCATCAGCTCCCCGATCCTGGCCGGGGAGGGAGGTGCCATGCTGGGGCTCGGCGCCAGCGACTTCGAGTTCGGGGTGGACCCCAGCGCCGACCCGGAGCTGGCTCTGGTGAGCGGCGGGGAGCGGGCGGGCGGCTGCGGGCGCCGGGCTCCGTCCGTCCCGGCTCGGCCCCGCTCAGCCCGTCCCCGTCTCCGCAGGCGCTGCGGGTCTCCATGGAGGAGCAGAGGCAGCGGCAAGAGGAGGAGGCCAGGAGGGCTGCGGCCGCCTCTGCCGCCGAGGCTGGGATTGCGGCCACCGGCGGGGACGGTGAGGGCAGGGGGAAAGGTGGGCAGGGGGAACGTGGGCAGGGGGAAAGGTGGGCAAGGGGAACGTGGGCAGGGGGAAAGGTGGGCGGGGGGAAAGGTGGGCAGGGGGAACGTGGGCAGGGGGAAAGGTGGGCAGGGGGAATGTGGGCAGGGGGAAAGGTGGGCAGGGGGAACGTGGGCAGGGGGAAAGGTGGGCAGGGGGAACGTGGGCAGGGGGAAAGGTGGGCAAGGGGAACGTGGGATGGGGGAAAGGTGGGCAGGGGGAACGTGGGCAGGGGGAAAGGTGGGCAGGGGGAAAGGTGGGCAGGGGGAAAGGTGGGCAAGGGGAACGTGGGATGGGGGAAAGGTGGGCAGGGGGAACGTGGGCAGGGGGAAAGGTGGGCAGGGGGAACGTGGGCAGGGGGAAAGGTGGGCAGGGGGAACGTGGGCAGGGGGAACGTGGGCAGGGGGAAAGGTGGGCAGGGGGAAAGGTGGGCAGGGGGAAAGATGGGCAGGGGGAAAGGTGGGCAGGGGGAAAGGTGGGATGGGGGAAAGGTGGGCAGGGGGAAAGGTGGGCAAGGGGAACGTGGGATGGGGGAAAGGTGGGCAGGGGGAACGTGGGCAGGGGGAAAGGTGGGCAGGGGGAACGTGGGCAGGGGGAACGTGGGCAGGGGGAAAGGTGGGCAGGGGGAAAGATGGGCAGGGGGAAAGGTGGGCAGGGGGAAAGGTGGGCAGGGGGAAAGGTGGGCAGGGGGAAAGGTGGGCAGGGGGAACGTGGGCAGGGGGAAAGGTGGGCAGGGGGAAAGGTGGGCAAGGGGAACGTGGGCAGGGGGAAAGGTGGGCAGGGGTAACGTGGGCAGGGGGAACATGGGATGGGGGAAAGGTGGGCAAGGGGAACGTGGGATGGGGGAACGTGGGCAGGGGGAACGTGGGCGGGGGGAAAGGTGGGCAGGGGGAACGTGGGCGGGGGGAACGTGGGCAGGGGGAACATGGGCAGGGGGAAAGGTGGGCAGGGGGAACGTGGGCAGGGGGAAAGGTGGGCAGGGGGAACGTGGGCAGGGGGAAAGGTGGGCAAGGGGAACGTGGGCAGGGGGAAAGGTGGGCAGGGGTAACGTGGGCAGGGGGAACATGGGATGGGGGAAAGGTGGGCAAGGGGAACGTGGGATGGGGGAACGTGGGCAGGGGGAACGTGGGCAGGGGGAAAGGTGGGCAGGGGGAACGTGGGCAGGGGGAAAGGTGGGCAGGGGAACGTGGGCAGGGGGAAAGGTGGGCAGGGGGAACGTGGGCAGGGGGAAAGGTGGGCAGGGGAACGTGGGCAGGGGGAAAGGTGGGCAAGGGGGAACGTGGGCAGGGGGAAAGGTGGGCAGGGGGAAAGGTGGGCAAGGGGAACGTGGGCAGGGGGAAAGATGGGCAGGGGTAACGTGAGCAGGGGGAAAGGTGGGCAGGGGGAAAGGTGGGCAGGGGGAACGTGGGCAGGGGGAAAGGTGGGCAAGGGGAACGTGGGCAGGGGGAAAGGTGGGCGGGGGTAACGTGGGCAGGGGGAAAGGTGGGCAGGGGTAACGTGGGCAGGGGGAAAGGTGGGCAGGGGGAACGTGGGCAGGGGGAAAGGTGGGCAGGGGGAACGTGGGCAGGGGGAAAGGTGGGCAGGGGGAACGTGGGCAGGGGGAAAGGTGGGCAGGGGGAAAGGTGGGCAGGGGGAACGTGGGCAGGGGGAAAGGTGGGCAGGGGGAAAGGTGGGCAGGGGGAACGTGGGCAGGGGGAAAGGTGGGCAGGGGGAACGTGGGCAGGGGGAAAGGTGGGCAGGGGGAACGTGGGCAGGGACAGGCAGGAGGTTCCCCAGGGAGGGCTCCTGTGCTGCGGGGCCGCCCAACGCTGTGGCAGCGTCTCTGTTCACGGCGGGGCCCTTCGGCGCAGTGCGGCCGTTCCCGGAGCCGCCGGGGTGCCGGGCGAGCGGCGGTTTCCACCCCGGAGTGCCCGAGGGAGGCCGTTTAATGGCGGAGAGCTGGGGAGCTACCTCTGCTTCCCCTGAAAATCCCCAGCACCCCAGGGAGCTGCTCTGCCCCGGTGCCCTTCCCCAGCGAGGCCGTGCGTCGCCTGGGGGGGCTCTGAGCCGGGGGTTTGTCTGCGCAGATTCGGACGATGCTCTGCTGAAGATGACGATAACTCAGCAGGAGTTTGGCCGGGCCGGGCTGCCCGACCTCAGCAGCATGACGGAGGAGGAGCAGATCGCCTACGCCATGCAAATGTCGCTGCAGGGAGCGGGTGAGTGCCTGCTGCCGGCTCCCCGGCCCCTTCCCGAAGGGTAAACCGAGGAAAGCAGCTCTTCTGCCTGCGGGACTGGAACCGCCGGCCCCTCTGCACCGACCTGCCCCACAGCGGGGCTCTGCCACCGGGGCAGCGTCCAGATCTCCCCGAATATTTGCGGGGCGGGCGGTGGGTGTGTGAATCCTCTCCCCCGGCAGAGTTTGCGCAGGCGGAGGCGGCCGAAGTGGACAGCAGCACAGCCATGGATACCTCCGAGCCCGCCAAGGTGAGGCTTCCTCCATCCCCAGTCCCTCGGGGCGGGAGGTGGGGCCTCTCCACAACTCCTCTCCCTCCTTCCCGCCAGGAGGAAGACGACTACGACGTGATGCAGGACCCCGAGTTCCTGCAGAGCGTGCTGGAGAACCTGCCGGGCGTGGACCCCAACAACGAGGCCATCCGCAACGCCATGGGCTCGCTGGCCTCGCAGGCTGCCAAGGACAGCAAGGACAAAAAGGAGGAGGAGAAGAAGTGAGGGCGCCGGGGGGCGGCGGGCGGCTGCCGGCCCGCGGGGGGTGGCCCGTGGGGGCAATAAAGGCTTTGCTATGGGGGTCTCTGTGCTGGCACCTCAGGGAGGGGGGACGCGGGCCAGGGCGCTGCTGGGGGCGTTTGGTTCCCACTGGACTGGGGGAACTGGGCCCCTGGACTGGGGGGACGGGGCCCCAGGGCTCCCTGGCACTGGGGAGAACTGGGCCCCCGGAATCCCCTGCGCTGGGGGAGCTGGGCCCCGGGGGTCCCTGGCACGGGGGGGATTGGGCCCCCGCAGTCCCCTGCGCTGGGGGAGCTGGGCCCCGGGGGTCCCTGGCACGGGGGGGGATTGGGCCCCGGGTCCCCCTGGCACTGGGGGGATTGGGCCCCGGGGGTCCCTGGCACTGGGGGGATTGGACCCCGGGGGTCCCTGGCACTGGGGGGATTGGGCCCCGGGGGTCCCTGGCACTGGGGGAGCTGGGCCCCGGGGGTCCCTGGCACGGGGGGGGATTGGGCCCCGGGTCCCCCTGGCACTGGGGGGATTGGGCCCCGGGGGTCCTCAGTACCGGAGGGGACCGGGTCTCGGGTCTCTTTACTGGGGGAACTGGTCCCCGTGTCTCCCCCGTGCCCCTCCTGCACACGTGTCTGAGGGCGGGGTCTGGCTGCCCGAGCCCCGCCCCCTGCGCCACCTCCCAGCGTACCCTGCGGCTGCCCGCAGGATGTTTACAGTGAGGCCGGACGGGGTGGGCGTTGGCGGTTGATGGGCAGCAGAGTCAGCCAATCAGTGAGGGGCTGGCATGGATGTTGTCAGAACCTCGGGCTGGGGAACTGGCCAATGGGATGGGGAGCAGAGCCCGGGGGGGGCGGGATTTGGGGTTGAGTGGCGGCCAGGCGGCACAATGGGTGGTGTCGCTTTGTCATGGCGGACCGGCGGGTAGGCCAGCCAATGGGGGAGCAAAGCGGCAGGGGCGTGCCTGAGTGACAGGGCTCTTCACCAACGGGGCCGAGCCTTGTGCATCACGTGCCGGACGGAGGTGGGCGGGGCAGGCATGTAGCCTCCTCCCTGAGTGACAGCGTTGCTAGCGAATGGGAGAAGACGATTAAAACCACCTCTGAGAGCTTCCGACCAATGGGTCTGGCGGAGAGGCGGGCCCTGGCGTTGAGCGACAGGACTTTTGCTCAATAAGAAAACAACAGCTAGGAGACGCCCTGATGAACATTCTCTCTGGCCAATAGCTGGGAGAGCCCGTGCTTGAAGGACAACCTTGTTTGACCAATGGAAAGCGGGGGGAGCTGGGTGGTCTTGATGAACAAAGCCTCCAGCCAATAAGCAGCGAGGCTGCCCAGTGGGCAGGCCAGCGCCAACCACCAATAGGAAGCGGGACAGCGGGGTGGGCGGGAACCATGCTTTGAATGGCACCGCCGCACCCCAATAAGCACACCCCGCGGTAGGCGGGCTCCAGGTGCGGACTCGTCCTCCGCTCCGCCAACGGCGAGTGCGAACAGTCGCGACCACCCCGGAGCGACGGCGGCGCTGGCCAATGGTCACGCGCGCTGCGGCGAGTGGCGGGCGGCTCCGCCAATGGCGCGGCGCGGGAGGGGGGGGGGCGGGAGCGCGGTGCGCGAGCGGCCGGCGGCGGAGGGCGGGCGGGGGGGGGGGTGGGGTGGGGGGAGCGCGAGCCAAGCAGGAAGTGGCTGAGGAGAAGCGGCCGCCGCGGAGGGGCCTGGGCGGGAACCGGCCGCCCCCCGCCCGCTGCAGCAGGTACCGCCGCGGGACCCCGCCTGCCCCGCGGCCCGGGGGGGCTCGGGTAGACGTGGGGGGGGGCTGGTGGTGCTGCCGCTCTTCTTTCCCGCCCCCCCCCCCCCCCCCCCCTCCGCCGCCCCGGGGCCTGGGGAGCCCTCCCTCTCCCCGTTCGGGCTGTGGTAACGGCCGGCCCCTCCCCTCCGTGCCTCGGGGGGGTCACGGTCATCCCCGAGCCTGGGCAGGATCCGGGGGGCTGTCGCGGCCGCCCCCCTCTCCCCGCGGGCTTTGGGGGGAGGTCCCGCTTATCCCCACCCTCCCCGTGAGATTGGGTTGGGGGGTGGCGGCCTAACTGTCATCCTGTACCGTCCCCCTTTGGAATTGGGGGGGGGGGCAGGTAATAGCCATCCCTTTCGGGATTTTGGGGTGCGGGGGAGCGGTCGTGTTCCCCTGCGTCTGCTGGGGGGGCTGAGCGCATCCTTCTCCCCCAGGGTTGTGTTGTTTTTTTGTTTTTTTTGGTGTGTGGGGGGACTCTGGTCGTGACCCCCCTCTTTTCTGTCTGTGGGGAGCCTGGCCGTGCTCCCCTCCCTCCCCAGCAGAGCAGGGGCTGACAGTGCCCACCTCCATCTCCTGGGGAGATCTGGGCTTGGTCCCCCCTCCCTGACACTCCTGGCAATAGGGAGGGGCTCTGGTCGTGCCCCCCCCTGTAGCAAAGGACAGACTGAGACCTCTCACAGCTGGGGGAGGCTTTGGGGGGGCCCAGGGGCTGTTCATGTGCCCCCACAGCTCCTGGCTCCCTCTCTTCAGCTCTGGGATTTGGGACTGTTAGCATTCCCTTCCCCAGCTCCTGGGCCTGAGCTGCTGCCCCCTTCCTGCCCTGGGGGGGCTGAGGAGTGGGGGGCAGCCTCCCACCTCCAGCACCGGGCTCAGAGAGGGGCTGGCTGTGATCCCCCCCAACTCTTCAGCTGTAACATCTCGTGCAAATAAGTTGGTGTCTTGTTTTGGGGCCCCAGTTCCTGGGGGGATTTTCTTGCTCCTCCAGTTTTTGAGGAGTGGCCATGTGAATACGAAGCCCGTTGGGGTTTGGGCTGTCTAGGTCCTCTCTGGTTTCTCCAGGTACCGGTGTCCTGAGGACGGTGTTTGAGAATGGAGCCTGTGGGTCTCTTATCACACCCCAAGGTCCTGGGAAGAACAGAGCTGTGGCTGGCGAGTGGTTTAGGGTTTTGGGAGGAGGGCACCTCGCTATTGCCCAGGGTTTGGTGGGGAAAGAGAAAATGGGAGGTGTGGAGAGGATCCTGTTGCAGCCTCGGTAACGCAGCCTGTGTGTTTTCGGGTCCTGTAACCGTTGTCTGCCTCTTGGGGGATGGTTGGGAGGAGTTGGGAAGCTCTCCAGGAGGGCCTGGTGCGGTTCCAGATGCAAAAGGTGGCTCACAGAGAGGTGGGCACCGTCCTGAATCGAGGTCTAGGTCCACTCCGACTTCCTGCAGGGAAGTAACTGGGAATAGCAAAGACTAACGGCAGGTTCTTGCTGTCACTTCTCTAGGTGCTTGGTGAGATTTGGGGGACTCTGGCCTGCGCTGGGACTGCAGGCAGCGAGGTGGCCCTGGGCTGAGGGTGTTTTCTGAAGTCCCAGGGCGGAGGAGGAGGCCAAGAGGCAGGGAGTGACCTTCTGCAGGGAAGTCAAGTATTTCAGCGGGCTATTTCTTGTGGGTCTTGGCCACTTCCTTAAGAGCCTCCTGGTTTTGCTTTGTGAGAGAGAGAGTGGGTTGGTAGTAAGAATGTGTTATTTTCTTTCAAACCCAATTTATTTTCTCCTGTTTCTTGGTCTCAGCCCCTGTAAAGTCCCTTAATTCGTTGCTGCTGGTGTCTGTGTGTGATCGGGTAACAGGCAGCCCTTGGGGGCTGTGATTATCTTCCCACAATTAGTTCAGTTCAAAGAGACTCCCCTAGAAGGTGAGCAGGGGAAGTTTGATAGCCTCCATACTTAGGTTTTAAGCAGCGCACTAGGGGTTGAGCCTTGTTTGTGGAAACAGATGCCTTAAAGGATGTATTTTTAGTGTGTCTGAGGAGGAAAAAAAATGCGTCACCCCACATGTGGCCATGCTGGCATTAGCAGGGGCGGGAGGACTGGCAGAGCTGCTTCCCAGAGACTTCCTTCCCCTGAGTTTTCCTGGTCAGAGGCAACAGGAGGATGGGTGAGCTCTGCCAGTGCTTTGACTCCTGATGTTAACCTGGTCTGTGTGAGGGGGCTCCGATTCCCCGTGGGCACCGCTGTAAACCAGTGGCACCATGCAGAAATGCAAGGCTCCAGTTGTTGGAGAGGTGGTGCCGGTGTGGAGGTAGCTCAGGATCTCCTTTGGTGACCAGGAGTACCAACAGCTCCCAGAGCTCTCATCATCTTGCAGGAATCACGTTTGTGTGTAGTTCTTTGGGTTTATTCCACCCCAATTAGGTTCTCCTGGGTCTAATCCCTCCTTCTGCTAATGCGCGATTGCCCCCTGCAAGATATTTTCTTGAGCTTTAATTTATTTGTACTGTCAAGTACCTAAGCACGCATCTGGGTATTATAAAAATAATAATACACTAATAGCGAGTGAGCGCAGTTATGGCGTGGGGCTGTTGTAGTGTGCGATGGGAGTGAGGGAACTCTGTGTTCCTTTTGGCATCCTACGTGGCAGATTTTCTGTTTATACCGCTAGAATAAACGGGGTGTCCTGGCTGAGTTTAGAAACTTTACATTGTAAAACCCAGTGCGATGAAATAGCACGAAACCTGCCGGGATGGGGATAACTGGTAACCGCTCATCGCGATGTGGAAATGATCCCAGGTGAGGGGAGAGACGTTGGGCTGACTGCCTGGGGAGATCCTGGTCATTCTTCCATGAAATGTCTGCCTGGAACCACCAAGGCCTTGTCTGCTTTTCACCGGTGTGGATCCTAGTCATACTGGTAAATCTGGGAGCAAAAACCTCCCCACCTTGACACTGAGGCTGCTTTGTGCTGATCATGGCTGCAAAAACGCCTGCCAGTGTTTAAAAACTTAATTTTTCAGGCTGGCCAAATTGTCGGGATTTCTGGATCTCATCCACCACTTGTTTGTTTTGATATCTCCAGAAGTTAGCAGATGGTAGAGACTTAACTCTGTTAAACGTATGGGAATTTAATCCCCAACCAGCCTCCGGCCAGGATGTGTCGTCTCTGCGTGGCAGCTGTGTTCTGCGCTGGGATGGGAGCCTGGGCCGGGGCTGCCGGGCTCCTCTCTGTGGGTTCACACCTGACTGCGGGCATGGGGGCGTGGGGAAGAACGGAGTTTCCTGCTCTGTTCCCTGATGAAGCATCTTT